TTCTAACATTGTGCGACAAAAAGCAACTCGGGGCTCATAATCCCGGGGCAGGAGAGGTTGAACACACTGTATGTGGTATGGATGAAACACATCACTTAGTTGCTATTGCACACTTTGATACCGATCAGTACTCCTTCGTTTACTGCGCATCTTTACATGTTCGTGCTTGTTGATTTCGTAATGTTACTAATTTTGGATTCGTGAACTGAACTGTTGATCGATTGTGATTTGGATTTGGACTGTTTAATTGCTCTTCAAAACAACATTTGCTTTCCTTAGACTATCTTTGATAGTGTGATTGTGCAGTTCCCAGAGACTTTGACTGCTGAGGTTTATTTAGGTTTTTTGCAAAATCATTTAGAAAATTTATTGGAGGACGTGCCACTGAGTATTTACAGGGACATGTGGTTTCAGCATGATGGCTGCCCAGCGCACTATGCGCTCTCAGTGAGAGAGTATTTCGATCAAAACTTTCCAGGCAGATGGATAGGGCGGTCTGGTACAATACCGTGGCCAGCCCGGTCACCAGATTTGAATCCGTTAGATTTTTTTTACTGGGGAACTGTAAAAGAAAAAGTGTATTTCAAGCCGATCCAAAATGTAGCTGAGCTACGGCAAAGACTATTGGAAGCAGCGGAGTTTGTTAATAACCGTGGATTCGCTCGTTTAATAACCCGATCTTTTTTAAGATGTCGAGCGTGTATCGCGGCTGAAGGAAAGCAGTTTGAGCATTTGCTGTAAAGGTAAATCATCAGCAGCATTCTGACGCCCACTGTTGTGCAAACAATTATCCTTAAGGGTCCTTGTGCGTTTTCATAATCGCTGTTTAATTAGGAAATTTTGAAAAATTTTCATCAGTTTTTCTTCAAATAAAAATTGTGCATAAGTTAACGAGTAATCTTCTAAGTGTTATACCATTTTGGAATCCTTATTAAATGCGCCAACTTTTACGGTTACTTGCCAAACTCTCGTAGTACATTTTTTTTCCAGTACAGCCAGTTAAAGTTGAGCAAAGTTTTACTTTGGAATACTTGGTTGGGAAATAAGTGGTAATTTTTCCTGAACGAGAAAAGTTGGCAGTAAGGTTGAGACACCAGTTTGAAGATGCATTATTCATCATTACATTGTAAAAATAAAATCCAAAAAAAGTTAATATTTGTAGTAACAGGAGTTGACAGACTGCCGTAGGGTGTGAAATTTCTATATTTTTTTCAAAGACCTATAATTTTCAAAACACATACATAAAATTTTTTTAAATATTTTTCTGATAGCTGTTATGAGTTTGCCTACACCCGGTTTCGGCTTGACGTCGACTTCTGGTATATTTTCCTCGAGGATCCTGCTCATATTTGACGTTATGCCCAGAAACACATTCTGCCTCAAGTGTAACAGTAAACAGTAAAACGGTAGATACATCGTACGCCACTGCTAGCGCGGGGTGCGTTTCAATCGGCAAAGTGTTTTGGTACCCTCTTCCGGTTCGGTACCAGACTATACTAGAACCAAGCGTTCATTAGAAAAGGACTGCAATGATAGAGTTGTGCAATGTTCGGTTAAGGAATTACTATTTGCAAAGTAATAAATAAGGAGACCTCAGACTGAAACATGCCACCCCCTTTCTTAAGGCTGGATAGTTTAAAATAATTTTATAGGAAATTCAATAATGGTTATTGCAACGTCGCCGGTAATATTTACCAAAATTCCTACTGGTTGAGTAAATAAATATAATTGATTTGCTATCTATAATCATTTTCCAACCTAGAATAATGTAAGCACGTCATACTTTAAGTTACCACCTTTACGAAAACCGTATATGTTTTGCATGTATCTTGACAAAGATATTTTTCTCTTACCACACGTTGACTACATCTATATGCATAAAAAAATATTTGTTAAAATTCCGGATAATTTCTGCCTGTGAGATAAATCTGGCAACCATGTTAGCGATAACAGTCGTTGAATAGAAATAGCGGATAACGTTATAAGTAAATAAAGGATAGATAATGTAGTCACAGCGAAGGATATCGTAAAAACGATTTCGACTTCCATTTTAGAAAATTTACAAACATTAGTTATCCAGGATCTTATCCTCAGAATCCTGATTAGATGTTAAATTTTCATGTCTTTGACTGCCCTCGGCTTGGTTAATCAGTCGTTTGCCGTGATTTTGCGGAATCGGTAGAGCGAGCAGTCCAGCTAAATAACTAATTCATAATTCTCCAAATTTAGTAAAGAAAATTATTCTTCCCTTTTTAACACATTATAAAGGGTTGTCCAATAGGGATGCAGGAAAGTAAACGTCAATTTGACATAGACGCCATCTTTGTTTTCTGTCACCGACATGTCATTTTGTTAGTTGAATGTTTACCATTGATCGCTATGGAGTCGTATTCGATTGAAGACCGCATTAAAGTTATTCAAAAGCACTACAAAAATGGTGCAAAAATAAAAAACACGTTTCGCGCGCTTCGTGAACATTTCGGTCGCAACAGCCGCCCAAATGAAACAACCACCGGTCGTCTGGTGCGTAAATTCGAGGCAACAGGTTCTGTGGCAAATCTGCCAGGCTCTGGCCGGCCAAGGAGCGTTTGTACACCGGAAAATATTGCTGTTGTGAAGGAGAGTGTGAGAGACGATCCGAAACAATCAACAACGCGTCGATCCCAAGAATTGGGCATTTCGAGAACCGCATTCTCCACAAGGATTTGAATGTACACGCCTACAAGATCTAATTGACGCAACAGCTGCGTCGGGCTGACCATTTTTCGCGCCAAACGTTCTCAGATTGGCTCCTTGAACACCGCCAAATTGATGCCAATTTTTCATCAAAATTCATGTTCAGCGACGAAGCGTATTTCACTTTGAATGGGACGGTAAACAAGCAAAACTGCCGCATCTGGGCGAACGAAAATCCCCGTGAGTATCAGGAGCAGCCGATGCATCCTCAAAAAGTGACTGTGTGGTGTGCATTGTGGTCAAAAGGCATCATCGGACCTTACTTTTTCGAAAATGCGGCCGGGGACGCCGTTACCGTCAATTCTGAGCCAGATCACGTGATGATAGAGGACTATTTTTTGCCGCAACTTGAAGGAATGGATATGGACGATGTTTATTTCCAACAAGACGATGCAACATGCCACACAACCAACGTCAATATCCATCGATTGCAGTCCTTCTTCGGTGATCGCCTGATTTCGCGCAGAGGAAATGTGCCATGGCCACCAAGATCGTGCGATTTGACTCTCTTGGACTTCTTTTTATGGGGATATTTTAAAAGCAAAGTCTACGTCAACAAACTAGCCACCCTCCAAGAACTCAAAAACAACATCATTGCCGAGATAATTGCCGTAGGACCGACCATGTTGCAAAATGTCATTGAAAATTTCGACCATCGCGTGGACGTCTGTAAATCCAGTCGTGGTGAACATTTGAGCGATATTATTTTTCATACATAAATGGTATAAATGAAACTTCAAAATAAAGTACCCAACTTGATTTGAACATCAGTCTTTAATTTAAACCCATCCCCAAAGTAACAAGATAGTAATCTCTGATATTTACATACAAATAAAATAAAAATCAAAACAAAAACAAAATGATTAGATAGATGTTTAACAAAAATGACAAAAGTTCTTTCCGTGTTTGATTGTATCAGAAAAAAAAGGAAATATTGCTTTTACCTAACTGTGGTGGTCAAAGAACAATCAAACATTATGCACATCTTAGATATTACTTGGACTGCAACCATCGTCACAACTTATGCAACATTGCATCAATGGATCGCTTGGCAACATCGCATCTCGTACATTCCAAGGTAAGGTTTCCACCTTGACCATATATGAGCGATTTTGGTCGGTACCCATATAGCGCTCAACTCAGGATTTGTTGATTTAGCATCGGTGGCAATCAGAGATAATTCTAAGATAAATTAAAACACTATGTCGCATAAACATGGAAATAAATATATGCACACATGCACTTTCATTTGAGAGCTAGAAAAACGTCGTAACATGTTATGTGACACTCTGCGGAAGCGCCTTCAAAAGGTTGTTCCGCGAGTGAACTTACTTTTTGCAGTCTATGTACTTTGCGCCTAACCAGCGTTCTCTCTCACTGTATTGGATGAATCATGGTCAACTTAATGTGACAAGTAGGAGCGTGCCAAATGATTTATATATGCAATGCGCCCCAGCTCAATCGTCATTTTAACGCAAGTCGATGACTTTCTCAATTGGGAATTTGTCAGAATTGAATATCGGCGACAGCTGCAATTCTTGTACGTTCCAAGCAGAAAAAACAAACTCAATCCCTTGAATGGATTGGAATTTCGTTAAAATGGACATGGATATTCGGTTCTGATCTAGACTCATCAGTATAAATGGGCAAGCTGAAAAGACTAGAACGAAATGGATGGTTACCGTGCACACTCCATTCACTCGGAAAATGTTCTGATTAAGTTCTTTCGCATTTTCTTATTTAAGCAGGACTTAGATGTCAACTGACTTTGCTAACTCTGAGCTCTCTGTCGTGTCGATATCATTGCTCTATAGGCCGGCTAAACTGACCCGTCAGACTTCTGCTTCTCAAACCTTGTCAACGAGAACTGGCCGATTCAACCGCACCTTTGTTTTTAGAATGTCGGAACCGTTAATAGTTTTTTCCGTTAGATATTTCAAAAATTGGATCAACAAGATATTGTTAGCCTCTTTATAGTAGTCCCAGCACCTTGATATTTAGGCACTGGCGATTATTTGTGTTCTAAGAATGTGATTGCTTTTACATACATAAGATACATATAAGTCTAAAAATAAATACATCAGTTTGATGTTCAACTGAATGAATTAATAAATAAGGAAAAAAACAGATATCCAATTGACAAATCCAATCTCGCTTTCTTACCGAAAAGGAACTACCAATACCAATAATGATTGCACAATAATACAAAAAATTCACAAAAAGAGGTTACGATAGCTAAACAAAATAGTTATAACAGCTGATTCTTAACTAGCTTCCATAATGTTACAAGACTCTTGCTTCTCAAGGCAGGGTCGGTTGAACCTCACTACATTGAAAATAAAACATTTTTGAAACAATGCATTGTAAGGTTATTATTATGCCTCAGATCTCTAAGATTAATGACTCATCTAGTTTAGTCTAATCATATAGGTACTAAGTGACATATAAATCCGAACACCCAGTTTAAATGGTTTTATTTTAATAAAATTTTGTATAAGTACTTAATGAAGCATAATAAGTAAATGATAAAAATTTCAAAATGATTGCACTGCTTTAAAGCCCTTTGACCTTTAATAATGTGTGGATGCACCCTGATGTGCTACGCATTCTCCAACGTGCCTAGGCATGCTTCTGATCAGGTGGTCAATGTCCTCCTGTGGTATCTCATTCCAGGCAACCACCAACTCCTCTCGAAGTGCTTCTAGAGTCTGAGGAGGATATTGCAAATTGAGCAATCTCCTACCCATCATATCCCACACGTGCTCAATTGGGGATAAGTCGGGAGATCTTGGTGGCCATGGTAACAATGTGACATCATTATGTTGAAAGAAGTCTATTGTGACTCTTGCAACATGTGGTCGGGCATTATCTTGTTGGAAAGTTGGATCTGCCAGGGTGTCAAGATAGGGTAAAAGATGGGGTTCTAGAACTTCGTGGATATAACGCTGCGCGTTCATGTTACCTCTGATGAAGATTAAAGCTGACCTGGAACCATAAGCTATAGCACCCCAAACCATAACTCCAACAGTGTGATGAACATGTCTTTCAACAAAAAACTGTGGATTCCTCCTTTCACCACGTCGCCTTCTAACCCTTACACCGACGTAATCGCCTTGAGTGGTGCAGACAACGGTCACTCTGGGATCAGGAATGGAACAGTATTGTCTTTAGTGACGAGTCTCGATTTTGTTTAGGCATGCACGATGGTCGTGCCAGGGTTAGAAGGCGACGTGGTGAAAGCAGGAATCCACAGTTTTTTGTTGACATTGACCACCTGATTAGAAGCATGCCTAGGGGCGTTGGAGAATGCGTAGCACATCAGGGTGCATCCAAACATTATTAAAGGTCAAAGGGCTTTAAAGCAGTGCAATCATTTTGAAATTTTTATCATTTACTTATGCTTCATTAAGTACTTATACAAAATTTTATTAAAATAAAACCATTTAAACTGGGTGTTCGGATTTATATGTCACTTAGTATATTAGACGAAAATACCTGTGGTTTGCGAAATAATTTTAAAGTCTGGTTTTATTGCATCCTTTGGATTCGACACCGATTCTTCGAGTCAAGACAAGAATAACATAAAATTAAATCATAGTTAAGGCTGCACATTGTTAAACTTTGAACTAGCTTCAAACTGGTTTCAAAATTCAAAATGAATCTATTAGCATACGGTAGCTAAACTTTCCGATAGATGACTCACGTATTTATCAAATCGATAACAATAACAGTAATCTCTATTTGCAAATACAAAAGCTACATAAAAGTTCTAAACCACTTGTGATATAAATAGCGTCAACGAGACAATTGTAACAATAAAAAATCTGCTCTGTACCATATTATTCAGATCTGTCTTGAAAATTCATCGATTGTATATGGTTCTACATTTAGTAATATTTTGTATAGTATTTTTTGAAATGCACTTAGTTTGACAATCCTTTTTACAACCGCTGGTAGATGGTTAAAGAGTTATAGACAATTAATTGTAAACAGGTCCTTTTTCAAATATCGCTAATCATATATAGGGTGTTTCAGTTTATTGTTGCATAACTTTAAGATTCGATAGAACTTTTAAAATTAATGCATAAAGTCTATATAAACATGGGTCGAAAAATGCGTGGCTTCCGAAATACAGGGTGTTTAAATTTACTTTCTGAAATAGCTTTTTTTTAAAATATTTCGAACAATATTTGATGTATAACAGTGAAAATTGGTATACAAGGGTTTTTTGGTACGACAAAACGAACCATAGTTTTACTGTAGCCGCTAGAGGGCGCTCTCTACTGTACCTGTAGTGTATTAAAATGACCGAAAAATTTTTCTTAGTACAATTTTTTGCTTTTTGAATAAAAAAACTGATTCTTCGCACTTTTCAACATAAAAAAGCTCTCCTGTGAGTTTTCGTTATAGTTAGCCGTTTTTGAGATATTTCGATTTTTAAGTTTCGATGCATTTTTAATTTTCGATTTGGGCATTACAAGTAATTAAGATGATCGTTTAGATTGTGTTTTTAAACACAGCAATAATTCCTAACTCCAAATAAACACAAAAAAACAGAATATTAATTTGTTTAATTTTCCAATATTATTTTTAACAAATTAAATTAATTATCTACAACTAAAATGCTATTGGATACAAAATCTAAAGTAGTTGCTCGAAATGTAAACCTAATTGTTCAATACACAATTCACATCTACGAATGATCGAACGTGGTATAGCATTATTCAAATAAGGCCTTATTTCATCACATGCATTCCTGATTCTGTCTATTAGCATATCTCTTGTGGTTACGGGAGTCTGGTACACGTTTTCTTTTAGAAATCCCCACACAAAGAAATCTAATGGATTAATGTCAGGGGATCGTGGAGGCCAGGCGACTGGTCCTCCACGGCCGATCCATCTTTCTGGATAATTTTCGTCCAGCCAGTTTCTAACTATTCTCCAATAATGACCTGGACAACCATCAAGCTGGAACCAGGCCAATCTTCTTAAATCTAGCATAACATCATCCCACATATTTGCATGTTCAGCCTTTAAAAATTCCAAGAAGGTCGCAGCATTTAACCTTGCAGGCAAAAGGTAGGGTCCAAATAGTCGATTACGGTAGATACCAATCCACAGGTTCGCACTAAATTCATGCTGAAAATTTCTTTCCCGAACTGCATGCGGATTTTCATGCGACCAAATATGTTGATTATGAAAATTTACCACTCCACGTCTAGTGAAGCATCGGTCCATAAAACGTTACTTAAAAACTCCCTATTATTATCAGTTCTATCAAGAATCCACTGACAAAATGTGATTCTTCGTTCTCCGTCCCCTGGCTGTAGTCCTTGCACATGTTGCAAATGGTAAAGACGTCTATGGTCATTTCTAAGAACACGGTGAACATGGCTTGCTGAAATTCCCAAGGCACCAGAAACTCTCCTAACACTTGTGGTCGGATCTCTATCAAACTCACGCAGAATCATACGGGTAATCTGCGCTGACGAACATTTATGTTTTGACCCCTTTGGAGATTTACAAAACCATTTTCAATTGTTTGGCGATGCACTCTGGCTGCTTCTGCTGCGTTTCCATTTACAAAGCCATACACAAAATGAATATCCGCTAACGCTTGATTGGAGAATAAAAATGGCATTTTTATAAAACTTACAAAAAAAAAACAGGCAAAAGAAACTAAATTTCATGCATTCACAATTGCAAAAAAAACGTTTCAGGTTTCAACAGACAACAAAACTAACTGTCAACTAATTGACGTTTAACCTTATTCTGCTTTCAATTTCAAAAATATTTGCAGGCACAGCCTACTTCTAAAAATTATCAAGATACTGACTTTTTAACGTTATTTTATCATAAATAATTAAAAATGCATCGAACCTTAAAAATCGAAATATCTCAAATACGGCTAACTATAACGAAAATTCACAAGAGAGCTTTTTTATGTTGAAAAGTGCGAAGAATCAGTTTTTTTATTCAAAAAGCAAAAAATTGCACTAAGAAAATTTTTTTAATACACTACAGGTACAGTAGAGAGCGCCCTCTAGCGGCTACAGTAAAACTATGCCCATGGTTCGTTTTGTCGCACCAAAAAACCCTTGTATAATAATCTCCACTGTTATACATCAAATATTGTTCGAAATATTTAAAAAAAAACTATTTTAGAAAGTAAGTTTAAACACCCTGTATTTCGGAAGCCACGCATTTTTCGACCCATGTTTATATAGACTTATGCATTAATTTTAAAAGTTCTATGGGATCTTAAAGTTATGCAACAATAAACTGAAACACCCTGTATATATATATATATGTATAAAGAAATACATTATTTTAGATTCAAAATATTTTAAGTGTCAAAAAACATTCAAAATTTATGTTGTAGATTTTCAACTTGAAAAAATATGATCATACCATATTAGTTCATGTTTCGAACAGCTGAACTGGTTGAATTTTGCAAAACTGTGCAAGCCTCATTTATTATGTTATGTTCAAATACTTTTACGTACTTCGATTCCTTCATTTTTGGAAAATAAATTGATCTCTAGAGATTCAAGAAACATTCGATTCACTGACATTTCAATGGCTACTTACAAAACTTTGTTTCATAAATGCTTTACTTATAAGGCCATCCATCTATATAACGTATTACCATCGATTGATAAACATTTTGATTTCAATAATTTCAAAAAGCAAATTATAAAAATTATCTTTGATGCTCAAATCCCCAGTATATAGTTCAGTCATATTTGTACACTCATGTGTACGTTGCATTCAATGTGTAATTTTTGTTTCAATTTTGCAGAATATTTTGCTAAATTTGTTTTCAGTATTCTAGTGCTAGTTATTTTCAAAGGTTAAGTGCTAGAATAGCTTGTAGCCACACTTCGCCTGAAATAAAAGTCGTTTATTATTATTATTATGCTCTAGTCAGTAGCCATGTGGGACCTAATACAGTTCCCTGGGGCACCCCTGTTTTAACATTAAGCTCATTTGGAATAATAATAAAATTAGGTATGTCCCAATAGTTTTACTTTCTGCTTACGATTTCTGAGATATGATTCTACCCATGAAAGTGCTGGAAATCTTTCTAATTTTTGCAATAACATTGTGTGTATTGTATGTTTTAAACTAGATAACAACAAAATTATAAATAACCAAGAACCTACACAGATATTACGTATCTATAATTTTCAAAGATCTGTTTCTTATTGTACTTACTCAGTACATTTTTCCCAGATTCTTTTGTGACCACTGTTTGGAGCAGAAATTTCATAAATATCTGAGTGAAAGTCATTCTCTCTAATTAATGTTATTGTGCAAGGGGTGGCTCACATCAGAGGGCTTTGTGGTATCTATACCTATGATCTACTGCTGCTAATAAACTTATTGTCCGCAACCCTCGATGTTTTTTAGCCGGTGCCTGCGGTGGTGGTTTTCACAATTACTGTTTTGTCATTCTAGCATCGAAACCGTGTGTACGGGGATGTAAAGGGAAATTAGACGATGTTTGATTCATCCTTTGCATTGAGGGTGGAAGAGTTTATCTGATAATAGGCTACTCGACTCAATCATAGAATAAATGTTTATTTCCTACTAAAACGAAATATATCGATCTCAATTTTAGAAGCGCATCATGTAAGTAGTTTAAAAAATATATTTTATGTTTTTAACTTGAAACGGTGAAAACGCTGTCGGACCTTATGTGACGTCATACAAATTGTAAACAAACATCATTCCTGGATTAACGTTGTGTTCTCTAAATATTTGTAAAAAATTAACGTTACATCACAGCCGACGTCAACTACGAGCCGTGATGAAAGAAAGGCAACACCGCGCTCGGACGGCATGGTAGTGCTACCTGTGAACGTCGGCCGTCAGCGGCTGTGTGCTCCGTCTCCGTGTAACGATCAAGAACTAAATTTAATTTTGGAAAAGAGGACAGTTCGATTCGATACAAATCGTCTGAATATGATGTCTTAGTACTATCCTCTATGTCACAATTGGCTAAGTAATTTTTCTCAAATACTTCATTGAATATATCCAAAACTTCAGGATTTTGTTTGGTATCCAAGAAATCAAAATTTTCTTGAGTTTCCAAGCAGTTTTGGAACCTTGTTTTAATTTCTGCTAAAGAAAATGACGATTTCTTTTCATTGAAAATATGCTTCAGCCGTATTTTCTTTTCAGCATTTAAAATTTCATCATATGACACATTGTAATTGCAGCCACATAAAAGTCTATAATTGCCAAATCGTTTTTCTAAATTATCAGTGGTGAATTTTCCAGGCAATACATACTCAATGTCAAATTGATTAAACGAATATTCAATTATATTAAGTAGAGTCAGCGTGCTTTAATATAGAGCTGTATACGTTTCTGGTGTCAGGTGTCCATTATTATTCTCTAGATTATGCCATTTTTCTAACCATATCAGGAATTTTTTTAAAAATTGTACTCTATAATCATATTTATTGGTAATAGGCTTACAAAATTCGTTTCGCTTCAATTCTCCTTTTATTACACTTGTATTACTGACAATATCCTACCAATTCCTGATTATTTCCAAAAAGTGTGCAGCATCATTAAACTTTAATTCTTTCATAGCAGCTATTGTTGAGTGATGTAATAAATTATCTACAAAATTTACATTTTGCCTTTCAAATGAATTTGGATGCAATGTTTTATAATTTAATTTATATGCTTTCTTAACTACAGCTTCTTTTTCCAATTGATATACAGCACGAATGTTTTCAAATTTAGGATACTGAATAATATCATTATTGTCAAAATTAGGATATACAAAAGTTTTGTCTAGGTTATTTAAATAATTCCAATTATTCCTGATACTCTTGAAAATATGCACAACATCATAAGTTAAATATATGTTTTTATCAGGATTATGTGGATTTGGAATAGAATAATTTTCTGATGAATCCTTTGCTAATTTCCTGAACATTGCTCTATTAATTCGGTGATTATCAGTAACAACACAAATAACTTCAAATCCACATTTTTGAACTAAATTTATCTTTGATCTTATCCATATCATCGAAATTCTGGATAGCTTTTTCATGTTTCTCAATTAATTTTTGTTTTCTTTGCATTGGGTCAGTTCTTTTGGGTGCTTCAGTTTTTGAAAGATATGATGGCAAGTTTGGGAAAATGGAGGGAACAGCATTTTCTTTCAATTTTGGATATTTCAAAGGTATATTATTTTGGACTGTTCCATCCGCCAAAACTATATTTTCTGTCCTGATGATATCCGATTCTCTAAAATGAGGACTGTACACAGCTGAATATTTTGAAGGTGTCCAGTTTTTTCTGGGAATTGCCATAAGCCATTTGTTTTTCAGACTTTCGGTACTTGGGAAGCGAAAAGTTGAAACATAGCTTTCTGTTTTCAAAGCAGAATTATAGTTTGCATTTCATAAAGGAACACAGCAACAACGAGGCATATTGTCTGCGTCAAATACTTGATAAATGAAAAAAGAAAAATACAACCTGAATTTGCACGTTTTCAATATTTGAAATCCTTAGCGTCCTGAGGCGCGAACAGCCACAGTCACACTTCTTAGTTTATTTTTAAAGCACAGAAGCAATACAACTGGAGTCTATTTCTCATATATTATAGTCACCGATCACTTTGAACACATACACACACTTTGATGCTTAGAAAACAAGCTTATCTCTTAATTACAGCCTCTGGGATTCCAAAATCACAAATTGAAAAGGTTATGTTTTCTCAGCGTTTTGAGCACGAGTTGCGTCGATGCAGCAAGTAGCGGCGGGAGTAACACTACCACCTACGTTGCCAGATTTCTTTGTTCACGCCTCGTAGTTGACTTCGGCTGTGGTTACATGCTATCGTTTTCTAGCTGTATTGAAAAGAACAATAAAGAATGTTGGATTCGTAAACGCAGAACGCGCAAACTCACCAAAAATTGACGCTGATGGTGATTTTATATTGCATGTACATCACAGACATGTCACCATGTCTATAACTTGGAAAGTACTTCCCGGATTTGGACGCACTTTTCATACATCAATGACTACTATGCCAAGGAAAAAAAGCTTTGTGGTTTTTGAAAATCGATCTAGTGGCGGATGATAAAAATTCCAGAAACAAAAAATTGAATATCACCCAAACTTTATTTATGAAGTTTCAGACGATCCTGATCAAGTTCGACAAGTTTTTAGCGGTAAAAATTGGGGGGTGGGGTACACTTGTTGGATACTATAAGTAAATTAATACAGCTATTAGAGATATTTCACGCACCATAGATTTACTCGTACGTTTGCCCTCAAAAAAATGTTCAGAAGACGTATCGCGTACCTATCTGTCGCATTTGTCGTGCGCCACGGGTGTGTAAATATTGCATCTTAGGTAGTGGATCCAAGAGACTTATAAAAGTAGATAGCGGATGGTGGAATGACGCGATATACTAAGTGTAATCTAATGAGGTTTCTTGATTTCATGAGGTAATATTACATGTTGTACGTATCAAGAGCTATTATAATCAGTTCTCAAACATTGTTAACAAACAGCTTTACACCAGAGATCCAAATAAATGGGGCTGAAATCAGCCGAGATTTTTTTCATGAAAGGTCCAAATGATGCACTAATGGTTTTAACAAAACCTACGTCATTTTAATGTCAGGGCAGTATATTAGAAAATTGTACTAGGAGTTGCTTTGAATGCGTGGGAGGTATAAACTCAATCTACTTGGCCCTAGTTTTTTCGGAACCGCTATTAGCTTAAGATTTCGGTGTAGGAAACTTTGCTTATTTCTACTAGAACGTACATGATGAAGTGTAATTAACTGATTTTTATCCACTGGAGGTAATGACTATTTTGCATCGAACTTTTTTGAACTAAGGTATTCAAGAAGGCAATGCCAAAATTGTGGAGCATCGGGTATTCTTGGAAAACAAAAAAAAAGATCCTTAAACTGAGAAGCAGAACGCGTAGATTTAGAACTTGTTGACATTATAGAGAAGACCTGTAACAGTTGCCTTTTATTGCCGATGAATCATATATTTTTTGTTGTTGTTGTTGTCGCACAGATTTAATTTGAAGTAATGCAGCAAGAACTTGAGAAGGAAGAAACAAAAGCCGATAATCTAATCTCCATAGCATATTATTTTTATTCATAGCATATTATTAAATCAATTTTATTGACAAAAATGACTAAACCGGCCCATTGGCCATGTCCCAAGATAGGGCTTGTTTTTAACGGTGTATTTAGCTATATTTTTATCACGTAATTCGTAACCAAAATAAATAACACGCAGACATTTACCTATTATCAAGTTTATTTGAAATAACATAACACATGAATACCACGGAATAACTATAATTTTTAATTTGTATCCGTTGTTTTTCTTCTGTAGTCGTTTGGCTGCCTGTATATAGTAGTCAGCATCTTCCATGTCACTGAACACTTTTGGGAACTGAAACCAAATATTTCTCGATCAATTAAACATAATCCATCCTGATAAATGTGTAGTCAATTTTCCATGCATTCAGGTAATTAATTGAAGAATTTACTCACCCTTATATGGACAATTTCTTCTTGTGTTGCCTGGTAATTTCCCTGGTTCACCATGAGTAATAATTTTAGTATTCATCTCCACATATTTTCATAAATAACTCGGTTGCTTCCATCCCATGCTAGATCTTCCACCGTCAAGAAATCAATTCAATCTCGAAATTTTCGCCTCGGGGATTTGTTTACAGCCCAACAACAAACCGGTTTGTCACTCCGGAGCTAAAAATAAATAAATACATAAATAAATGTACATCTATAAATTGATATCACCTTCTGAATTAAAAACTATTTGTGTTGCATAAATATTATTACTCACCTATTGAACTATGTATTTCTTTTATAGTCAGATGAATTTATTATTGTTCTCTGAAATCTTCCAATGTCAAAGGCTGATGTCGCTGATGTCGAGGTACTATTCTGCGTACCGAACTACTTGCACACCTCAGTTGTTCCGCATAGTTGCCAATTTTATTTCAGAATTTCCTTATGTTTATTAATCAATCAAATTGATATTCAGGTATGACAGTGTTGCCACATTTATTCACGATATTTCCTTGAATTTATATTAGGAACCTTCTCATTTTGGGATTAGCCGACAACGTTTGGCTCTTACTGGTCAGGCGTACAACTATATTTGGAAAGGTCAAGTCGAAAAAATTAAATTTTGGGATGGGACTTCCTTCCACTATCGGAGGGCCATCTTGTTCTGTTCCGCTAGTGCCAGAAGACCTGAAATTTTCCTCTTTTTTTGCCTGCGGCATCTTCGTTGGATTGTGGAAGAAAATTTCATAGATAATTTCCTGGGTCATTCCTGTTGTGAGTGCGTAGCATTTTTTTTTTCGTCTACCCTTGGACCCGAGAAATTCTACAATTTGTAGAATCTTATTGGCGTCAGCCGCACTTTTCGCCAGATGGAACCACGTGAAAAACCCTACCCGACATCATCTAGGGCTTTTATTTTGGGGGAATCTTCGCTACTGGAGATCCATTGACACGTTTTCTACCGGGGACCTCTTTCCGAACAGAGACCCTTTTTCCACCATAGGGATTCTTACGTCATCGGTTTTGAAGCCTTCCTCGCCCATTTTAAATTAGTTAGTCAATAAGCTTTCGCATTAAGGGAGATCTCCTAGTTTGGCTGGCTTAAATTTTTGTTGTTAGCCGTTAGTAGATGTAATAAAATGTATTGATGTTAATTTTAGCAATTATTTACCCACACAGAAAATCTATTGTTTGTATGTATTTTTGTTGGGGTTTTGGGCTAAAGAGTGCCTTTCAACACCAAGGCGTCTTCCAGTTTTGGCGGATAAAAGCTGGTGGCGCCCCTAAAAAATACTCCCCCTACTCTCCGGTGTACCTGAGCATAGTGCCTAATTTGCCTACGCTAAACCACGGCCTTAGCCTCAGTAACCCCCTAGTTTTTTTTAATCATCCATTGCCTCAATTGAGAGAAATAACTTTAGCTTAAAATTAAAAAGTGATCCTAATTAAAAAAAAAGAGCGTGGCAGACCTGTCACGAATTCCGTTATCATGTGAAAAATCATTGAAAATCGAGACGACTCAGGGTGCTCCACTACACTTTCACGAATTCTTTCGACATTTTCCGGAGTACGAACAGTTCGAACACGGCCCGACCTTGGCAAGACTTTAACTTCACCTGTTTGCTCAAATTTCAGCACCAACTGACGAATCGTGTTGTCACTAGGCACATTGTTTCGATCGAAATCTTGTCGTAGCTTCCGAATCGTTGCAACAACCGACTCTTTATTTAAGTAAAACGTTTTAACAATACGGACGCGTTTTGGGATCGTGTATCGCTTCATGATGAATTGGACTATGCGCAATTAAAATCAGTCAGTTATATATTGGCCACCCTGTATAAGTATTTTCGTTGTTTGCGAAATTTTTGTATAATTTCCTTTCTACTATAGTGTATTAGTGATAAGTGTACAAATATTCATTTGTTTATTTAAGCCTCTGATGGACTTGTTTTCTGTGACAAAAATGTCAGAGATACTTTTTTCAGGGGTAATTTATTTTATCTTCTTGTTTCGTGGAGCGCATTTCCGCGATGGTATCAGCATGAAGAAACCCCCCGACGACTGTGCAGAGGAAGTTTCTGTCGGAAAATCCCGAAAAATCCCCATGGCTTGTCGTTATCAGGGCGGTGTCGAAAATCAATAAATTTTCATTTTAAAAGTCGCCGGCTCCGGTGGCGTTGGGGGAGATACCACCGCTCCGGAGCTACCCGGAGTCCGGAGCGGGGCCCGGCTGGGTTACTTCCGGTTTCGGCTGACGCCGGCCCACCATATCCCGTGCTCTCGATAAACCCCCGAATGTGTTCGAAACAACAAATAGACTTTCCACCATGGTCGTATGGTGACAGGGAAAATTGCACTCTATTGTTTTATTTATGAAAGGAATGGCTTCAAGTCGTACCAGTATGTAACTAACTTGGGAGTGCCTCAGGGTTCATACCTTGGTCCCTTATTGTTTACATTATTGCATACATACCGCCTGACACGAGTACTTCCTGCTATGAAAGATTCTTTGAACATCTAGAATCGCTTGATTACCTCTTTGGCAAAAGTATTTATATACTAGGTGACTTTAATGTTCCCGAATTTGTTAATGAAAATCACCTCCAATCTTCTCACAAGCAGAAAACAATTCAGTCATTTATGGGTTTCTTCGATCTTTCTCAATTCAATGATGTTCGGAATGAAAATAATAGGCTATTAGATTTAGTGTTATCAAATAAACAATGTAGCGTCGTTAAGGCTTATGATGACCTACTACCTGAGAATGTTCACCATCCTCAGCTTGTCTTGATAATCAACATGAGCTTCCATTCTAAAAAGAGTATCAAATGCGCCAGAGAATCATATAATTTCAGAAAAGCCAATTTTGTAGCACTATATGAACAAATAAGCTTGGTTAATTGGACGTTTCTTAACAATTTAACAGTTGTAAACGTAGTTTTGGAAACATTTTATAACATTCTTCGTAAAATTTTTAATATGTGCGTCCCTAAGACAAGTCTCAGATCTCTCAAATTTCCAGTTTGGTTTAACGGTGAAATTATTAGAGACATTAAAAGAAAAAAAATGCTGCACAAAAAGTTTAAAAAGGATAAAAGTTTGATCACATACACTGAGTTCAAAGACTTAAGGGCCAAAATTAAGCGCGATGAGCGTAACGCATATCAAAAATATCTAGTAGATATCCAAAGTAGCCTATCCCAGGATCCGAACAATTTCTGGTCATTTATCTGTAATAAAAGGGGACAAAATTCCAAAATCAGCCAAGTAACAAGTAAACTATAACGGTAAGCAGTTTGACAAACCCAATGAAATTGCTAATGCTTTTGCGCTATTTTTTCAATCTGTATATACTATACCCTCGCACGCAACTGATATTAATATTTCGGACTTGCATACTAACATAATACTTCAGAGCTTTTCCGAAGAAGAAGTTTTTACAGTGTTAAAGCAAATGAAAAATAAATTTACCTCCGGACCCGATGGAATCCCATCATTTTTAGTACGTGACTGTGCCTACGTCTTAGCTCATCCCTTGACAAAGATCTTCAACCTATGTTTAAAGACTGACACGTTTCCTGAAATTTGGGGCGAATCAAAGGTGCGTCCCGTTTTCAAGAAGGGTGATTGACTACAGGTTGAAAATTATAGACCGATAACCCTAGTATGTATCTTTTCCAAGGCCTTAGAAACTTTGCTTCATAATTTCCTATACCACAATACACATTCCCAAATAAGTACTTCTCAGCATGGCTTTATGAAGGGTAGATCAACCATAACTAACCTAGCCTGTTTTACTCAGTCAGTCTCCTCTGCATTAGAGGCTAATAGCCAGGTGGATGTAATTTATACAGATTTTAGTAAAGCATTTGACAAACTTGATCACAGTATTCTATTAACGAAGCTGAGCTATTTTGGATTCTCCCCCAGGCTGTTATCCTTTCTTAATTCATAACTATCAGGAAGAAAGCAACATGTTGAATATGAGTGTGTCAAATCCATTGAATTCTTCCCAACCTCAGGGGTACCTCAAGGCTCCTGCTTAGGTCCTTTGCTTTTCATATTGTTCATAAACGATATTGTTAGCGACATCGACAGCAGCCACTTAATCTATGCTGATGATCTGACAATTTTTTCCAATGTCGACTGCAGCACTGACTGTGCTCACTTACAAAATGACCTAGCCAAAATAGTTAAATGGTGTGCTGTAAATCGACTTCCAATTAACTACAGTAAATGTAGTGTTATGTCTTGCACCAGAAAGCTAGATATTATTGCATTTGACTACAGAATTGGCAATCATTCTCTGCTGAGAGTACAAGAATGCAAGGACCTAGGTGTGATTTTTGACATGTCACTTAGCTTCAATCCTCATATTGAGTACCTTATTAATGCTGTCAACAGATTATTAGGATTTGTAATACGTAACTCAAAGGAATTAAGTAACAAAGATGCCATGATTATGCTTTATAATTCATTCATACTGTCTAAATTAGAATATGGACGGCTAATATGGAATCCATGCTATGTTACAACTTGTGGCTCTCTGGAGAAGATTCAGCGGAAATTTCTGAAATTTCATTCATTCAAAATTGACGGTACGTACCCACCCACAGGAAGACCTGTTACGTAAGCACAAGTTTATCACTCTTGATAACAGAAGAAAGATTCACTCGCTAATATTCCTGCATAAAGTAGTGCATAGCAGTTATGATTGTCCATCATTTCTAGCACAGATTATACACTCACTTTTTACCTACCTACCCCACGAACTAACTTACTGTTGCACTCACCTTTGTACTCGATGTGTTCATGTTATAATAGTCTACAGAGTACATTTGATTTGTTCAACACAAGTATTTCGAATATTAAGAGAGTTTGCAGTGAAATGATTTAGTTTTTAGTTTTCGTTGTATTTTTATATGTTTTTTATACTATTTCTATTGTCGTTTTGCCACCAGTAATTGGTTAACACTGTTGGTGGTGGATTTCAATAAATAAATAAATAAATAAATAAATAAATAATTCATTGACGACATTTCGCAATAATTAAGTTCGGATGATTTAAAATTATTCAGGATTCTTGGTTTTGAGGCTGATTGTATTGCACTTCAGCGGGATATTGATGTTTCAGTAGCTAGGTGTGACGGGGATAAGGATTTGGGTGTAGTTTCTGACCATAAACTAGCATTTTCACTCCATATAGGTCAAAAGGTGGGTGAAGCTTCAAGGGCGTACGGTTTTATTGTGAGAAGCTTCAGCCGCCCAGTCACTATTGGTCTTGTATCTTGTTTCTATTCGTTTGCAATTGGAATATGCATCGTTAATAAGGAATCCAATTTACAACTGTTACATTGATTCTCTTGAGCGTGTTCAACGGAAGGTTCTCAGATTTTTATTTTTTTGCAGCTGAAAAAGAAGTGTGCGTCAATTAATTTCTTGCATAAACTGTTACACAATCAAATTGAGGCTAATGACATTGTGGCTACACTAAACTTTAATATCCCATCTATTCGAACTCGTACCGTTAAAAACTTTTATTGCGACAGAGCTTGCACAGATTTATTTTTGAAAGCATCCATGTAATGTGTGAAGCTTTTAATGCCTTATCTAATCATTGTCATATACATGCTGAAAGTTTGAACAATATTCTGGGAGTTGCTAGGAATTGCTTAAACAATTTACGATATGCTTCCTACTTGACTAAAGTATATTTTTTGTTTCTTTTTCTTGTTTGTTTTTGCTTTAGATAGAATCACCTCTTTTTGTAAGCTTCCTATATTAGTTAGTTTGATCTATATTTTCTTAGAATTGTGCTGTAAGTGGTTTCCTTATCTGTTAACGCACAGGATCGTGAATTGTTCACACGATCACGATTCAGTTTATTTCTTCAAGCCACCCAAGGAAAAACGTTTGGTTAAAAGTTGTGCAGTTTGAGTTCAGTTTTCAGTGTCATGTTAGCGGAAACGGAGAGAGAGTTACGTGAAGAGTAAAAGAATCGCAAGAAAAAGCTTTGTTAGGCCACCATCACGTGGTGATTACCATACAGCGTGTCTCAAAAGTATGGATACACTCAAATATCTCTGACACTAAGGATGTGTTAGACTTTGACTTTAATCTTGAAGGTCATTTCA